CCATTACTTTTACTATCATCATCATTACTATCATTATTGATTTAGCTATCAACTTTGAGAATAAGCAAGAGATTGAAATTACTACCATGAGTGAAAGGAGGAAATAGATTTCAGCTTCCTGAATGCATCTTAGAGGAGTTAGATTGCTTTGCTTATAGTATTTGAAAACAATACTGTTTTAAAGCGTGTGGTAACGTGACAATTATCAATTATGAGAACTTGTCTCCAGTATCTATTGAATTGATGATAAATGGTTTCAGGTAAAGCTTTACGCGTGTCAAAAGGTTATACACTTTCCGAGGTTTGTTCTCCCTGTACGTTTCTTGAATTTGGTGTACACTGCATTTCCTCTACGCCCTTTACTGAACATTAATCAGACTTTATAATACAACTCTGTACATGTGCCTGATCTTGTACAAGCTTTGCTTTTCATTTAGGCTCCTCACATTGTACATGGTTTTTATATTGCCCTGTCATATCTACACTTCCCTCGTAACATCTTGATGTTAACCATACATTATACTTCGAATACTAATAATAATGGTGGCTTCCTATAGAGCGCACCAGCTCCGAAAGGCATGACGCTCATGGCGCTATACATGCGAATCCAAATACACAAGAAGGTACACTATATCTACACAATATTAACATATTGAATCTAAAGCATTAAACTAGAGGAAATATGAAATACAAACTTACGAATATATAACGAGAGGAACAAGAACAAGAAGTACACAGAATCGTTGCTCTATTCAGCACCGGTAATTTTTTTTAAAATATATTGTTATAATGATTATTATTATTCCTATTACTATTATGATAACGATGACAATTAGTATTATTATTGTAAAAAATTATATGTATTTTATTTAAATCTTTATTCTATTTGTAGGCTGTAATGTGTGTTACATACATCTTTTTATGGAAATATGAAGAACATCTTAACTTTATCTTGAAAATTGATTTAAAACAATGTCTTCCTACAACTTTTCTTTTGTGATTCCAAGTCCGTGTTACATCTATTATTTAAGAACTTATTTATAAACATACTCCAGTACGTACTCTTTAATCGTCATCGCAACATCTTCTGGTTGTACACCCTGTAAACATGAATACACACGGAAACGTCTCCTTCATGGTATCAATTCCTGCTCTGTGGAATTCTCTACCCATTACCATTAGACATATCTTTTCTCTCGATACTTTTAAGAAAGCCTTTTAGACCTACAATTTCTTACACTGATTGATTGGTTGCCTTTTTATTCTTATTTCATGCAAACTTTACAAAGAACAATACATTTTACGCAACATTAACGTTTCTTTAAGTAATATGGAAATAAATAATATGGAATCATAGTTATAAATAATATGAATGAATTTTCTGTAAATCAATAAATAGGGAAATGAAAAAGGAACCTACTTAAAAGCTAGGGTGCAAGATGAAAAGCAAACATCAATGATTGACACAAATATTCAATACAAATGATAGCTTTCGATTGGGTCATTCTTCTTACTTATGGAGAGAAAAAAGTTTAAGTGTATACCAAAGTCGGTCTCTCTTTCGCTTCGGAAGGGTGGTCCAAAGTCTGGGTCCCTTAAAAGTAAAATTTATATTAGCAAGTAGGGTTCTCATTTTATGAAGTTGATGGGAGCCCGCTGAAATGATGGGCGTAGTTGTGTAATTCGGTATTTGTCCTAAACGTTGCTAAAAGAACTTCCGGTGACTCGTTTCCCCAAATCCCCAAACATAGAAAACAGATCACGTATCTTAAATATTTTGTTCGAGTAAACAAAAATAAAATAGTGTATCTGAATGTCATCGAAAGTTTGAATGACTGATAATACGTATTGTTGTTTTTCTGAAGAAGTAGGATTCTACCCAGTAACGAGCCCCAGGCTAAAATTGGGTATAGCACAACAAAAATAATTACAACAAACGCATGTTATCTGATGATTGTAAATGATCAAGCTTTATGAAAGCTTCAAAAAACAAAAAACTGAATTGAAATCGGTCAATGCGTTGTGATTTTATACAACTTTTTTGATATCGCAAAATTAACGGAAAACCTGCCAGAAATGGTCAAATTGGCAAAAATGGAAAAATTCGACAAAGTTGACAACTGAATTCATCACTTTCTTGGACACAAATAATAAATTAAATTATCAGACACTAAAATATCATCTTTGTGGTAAAAATACAAAAAAGAAAATTCATATACCTATTACCGTTTTGAAGCCAACAAAAAAAGTAATTTTTGCCATTTTTGCGAAACTGCAGATATGAAAAAGTTGTGAAAATAACTAAGTCCGCCTAATTAATATGCGCATATGTAATCAAATCAAAACCGAACACAATACATCAGTGAAACCTATGTATATCAGACAGGTATGGAAATGTATTTCATTTGAAATATTAAAAAATCATGAATATTCATCAAATATGCAAATGAGGTCATTTCAGCTAATTATATATTCGTGCACTCATTATGCAAATTAGGAAAGTCAAACCGTTCATTTTTTGGCATTTTTTAAATCATATACATAGATCATATTTACACCAAATATTAACCTTAAATTCCAAATATTTTTGCAATGCCAATAAAATATGGCAATGGAAATTACTTGGATCACTGTCACAGCCATTTCCTCATGTGTTTCACATATTATTCAGAAAAAAGATCACATGATAAGAATTTGCAGACTTTCAGCTATATCACAGTATATTTGTATTTTTTAAAAGATGTCAGATTTGAGAATTTATGACGATTTTCCGAGAAACCATTCAACATGCAATAACATTCCACAGGGACTGAATTTCAGAGTAACAAAAAGTTTGGTGACCCCAGTACAATTTGATTTAATGAGTGAAACACGTGAGGATATAACATTTTTTTTGTAGGGGAGTTTTATACATTGTGGTGCTTTTTCACCACGCAGAATAACAATGCAAGTCAATGGGAGATCAGCGGGCCATGTCACACATGGCTGAAAAGACAATATTCTAAATAAATAATTTAACCGTTTTCCCACATGCCTATAAAAATGAAACTACACAGAATTGTATGCTTGAAATATATGTGAAATAATTTTTTTTAAATATTCAGTTTTTTTTAAAATAAATTTTTAAAAAATTGCTATTTCTACCAACTGACTGCTGTTGTGTGGGTGTGTGTGTGTGTGCATGGGGCAGACTGTGTGCACAGACATTGTAATCACCCTACTAAAATGTCATAATTCAAGCAAGATATCTTTCCTAAGAATTTTGTATTAGAAACCCTTTTACCAACAGCAATATCAAGATATTTTTCTAGTTAAGTTATCCATTATATTACTAAACAACATTTAGTTTTCAATAAATCAAGTGATAATTTAATAGTTCTGCTCCAATTTGTTATAGCTTTCATTTCAAAACTAATTGTTGTGGGTAAGATCTCAGGTTATCTGTGTGAAAAGAAAATATTAGAATCGTCTAGAATCGTCTGCAAAATATTTGATGACCTGTAGAAGTCATTAATATATATATATATATATATAAAATAAACAATGTTGGGTCTAGAATTGATCCCTGAGGTACACCGCAGTTTATGGAATTAATACCTGAATAAACACCATCAATAACTATATGTTGTTTTCTATTGTGGAGGTAGTTCCTAAACCACTCCGAGGCTTTCCTCTTATTCCATACTTTGAGAGTTTGTAAAACAGGATATGATGGTTATCAAAAGCCTTGGATAAGTCCAGGAACACCCCCACCGTATTTTCGAATGTATCAATGGAACATGCTCCTTATTGACTAACGTACACAATTAAACGATAACATGTGTTTTATTGTAGTTTGCTCATAAACCAAATTGCGAATCGTATACAAAATACCATGAAGTGAGAACATCAACTGTTCGAAAATAAACAATTTGTTCAAGAATTTGAGATAGCCATCTCAATAAAGATATTGGTCTTTAATTTCCCAACTGTAGTGGATCCCCTTTCTTAAAAATGGGAACTAATTTAGCAAATTTCACAGCTTAAAGATACTATGTCCCTTTTACAGCCAACATCAAATTCTGTAGAACTTTGCAGGAATTGTTTATATGTCATGTATGTCCTATCTGTGGAATTTAAACGTTAGCAGTGTCCTCATATTCAAATTATGCAAGGAAACCCGTTTACTTGCTAGACTTCACTGTCAGACACTATTGAGTGACTGACTAGCCCTTTTTCACCTTTGGTAATAAAATACATAAATGAGCTGTAAAGGGTACATGAGCATTTGTTTGTCTACATCAATAACCCACTTCTTAAAATCAAACTATTACTTACTGGCTCTATAGCTCCTAAGTCAATTTGACAACTAATAGTCGTTATTTTCCCACTTAAAGACTTTTTCAAGCCCTTTTTCTTTTAGGGAAGTTCTAAATTAGTATTGTCTTTCAAATGCCGTTGGGATTTAACCTTTTCGTTTTTTGGGCCTGCAAATGGGACATAGTACTTTTAAGGAAACAAAAACAAAAGACAAACTAAATTGTGAATTAAGGGTTGAACACTATAACATGGTGCGAATTATTTTCTAGAGACATTAACTAATTTCGATAAAACCAGAACTCTGCTTATTTTGCATTCCAGTAGTATTTCTATTTTTGAGTATTTTTTTAAATTTTCTCCAAGTTTATAATGTAAAGCGCATAAAGAATTAAGTTGTAATTATTATGCGCTATACAAGTTTAAAGTTTTTATAGTCCTTTAAACATCTAATTTTTGAAGCTGAATATCATTCGAACTTTTATGCACTGTAATTTGCGAATGTCTGTATTGTAAAATAACTCAAAATGAAAATGTGTTCATCTGCATTTAGTTGGACATGATAACTAGCCTGTCACCACGTCTACTTTGATGGGGGTAGTACCATGAGTATAAATTAACGTTCTGGTGGTAACAGTAAAAAGTATTATAGTTACCTTATTCAGTACATTATCTAAAAAGTCGCAGAAATTATAGGTACCTATTCAATTTAAGAGTTCTCCAAAGCTGGATGATATCCTCAAGTTTGGCAATATTTGGCCGCCGATGGTGCTTAACTTGACGACATCTCTTTTATTTATAAGTTTAGAACTTTTGGTAGCATTGCAAGTGAGCATGTCCTTGAGAGCCTCTCGAAATTCGGGATACCTCGCTGCGTAGATGATCGGGTTCGCGCAGGAGTTGTAGAAGCCCAGGACTGTTAGCATTGAATGGAGATGGCTGTTTATGTAAGATTCAGGAAACCAACCGATTTTATAACCCAAATATGCAATGGGGTTCGGAGTCCAACAGACAAGATAGATGAGGATGACGACCAGCATCATCTTCAGGACGCGATTTCTGGCCACGATATGGAAAGATGGCATTGTTTTCCATTGAGGCTGTTGGTCACGCCTTTAAAGTGGTTGGAGCGGTGAGTAAGCTTGCGAGCGATTAGAACCTGGGTAATTAGCATGGTGAGACAAGGGACAACGAGGAGGAGGCAGAACCAATTGAAAGCTACAATGGTTTGTGTCAAGCGGTTTATGTACTGCTCCTTGCACTTGTTGGTAAAGGTGTCAACAGTATACGCGAAGAAAGTGAACAGTTGAGATAAGACGGAATGGACCCATATGAAACCGATGAGGGTCGAGACACGACGTCGAGTGATGAAGCGCTTGAAATGAAGAGGATAGACCACTGCAATGTACCGTTCTACAGATATAGACATCAGGCGGTTTGCTGAGGCCGTTATGGAAGCCCAGAGTAGGCTTTGCGTGAAGACAAGTCTGCAGTAGACCTCACCCAACCAGGTCTTAGGAATGTACACTGTCATGGGGATGGGAATGAGGAAAACCAAAGTAAGGAAGTCTGCAAAAGCCAATCCACTGATCAGGGTATCTGTTGCTTTGTTTTTACTTCGGCGATGAAAAAGAACAACGATCACCAGGAAGTTTCCTACAATTCCTGTGATTGCCGAGATTAGCTGTATAATGACCAACCATGACCAGTCCATCGGGCACCAGGAGAAGTTTAAAATGATCGTGTTCTCACCGAATCCTACGTGGGTTTCGAAAGATAGACCACAATCAACAGTTGTAGAGTTGAATATAACACGTTGTTCCGTCATCGTTTGTGTCTTATTCATGATCGAAAGTGACGATACCGTCGATCCACCTCCCCCGATGACCACTAGTGAAGTCGTCTGAACAATTGTTCAGCATTTCCTCTAGTCTCTCATGTTAGATTGGTGTTCTCTACGATTTCCGACCATAGAACAGACTCAACTACCGCAACTGACCACAGTAAAGATATCAGCAATGTTACAAACTGGTTAATGCTTTCGACATCGTCATTTCTTTGGCTGTGCTTTTCTAAATCCTTGCTTTCCTCGTTATAGTCTTCGGGGAGAGTGCATATTCTAAACGATACAGATACCACAACTGATCTTGACATTTATGAAATATGACAACTGAAAATCCTCAGAATCGTGATTTACTACATAGGAAACACGTTGGTGATAATGATCTGTTCAAGCCAAAGATGAGCGATCCTTCCCCGAATAAGATGGATCTCCAAACATTAGAAAGAGAAGAAAACAATATGCGGAAATTGTTCATACATCTCCCACATTATCCTCATCGGTCAGTTGACGAAATTAAACTAAAACTGTGCAATTTAGGCCTGATGTTGATCGATGGTCTGACTTGATTTGACGTTCATTTATTTTCCATATACTCTACATCATCACACATCTATATGAAATTTTAACATGTATGGTCATATAAAATCATACATAAAAAGAGGTCGTCATATCATAATCGCAGCTTGAGCTGGCGTCCTCATTGGTTCATTGTAATGTAACTGAATACATGGCAAACATAAATGACAAATTGTTGGTCATGCCTAATTAGATTTGATGTTCATTTACTTTTTATATGCATCATCCCACATATTTAAAGTTCCAACATGACATGTTTAGTCACCTAAATTATACACAGAACAAACAGGAATCGTCATAATTATATGCACAATTGACTGTTTAAGAAATAATTGAGTGGAGCGGTGAAAGAGAGATAGGCAAAAAAATCATATAAAGAGGAAAGCGTGGACGATAAAATGAGTCTCGTAAAGTAGTAATTGGAGAGGTAATTACATTGACGTTTGATTAGCAATCATATTGTAATCAAACATTGACCCATTAAGGCCTGTCAAGTACAGCTATCGAAACGTCATTTTGTTTACAATCACGATTGATAGGTTTGCAAAATGCAGTGAAATTGGTTTTGTATTCTGTCTTCCACAATACGGGCGATGGTTAAAAAAAAAAAAAAAGACCGTACAATGATCAGAGACTTTGAGCCGGATTGCCTTATCGATTCACGAGGCAGAATTGATCAATCATTATCTATCTTTGATTTGGGCTGACTGTTAGTTTGTTATAATTTTAATGGACAATTCAAACATTTTGTCGAAATATTAGCTCATCTTAATCAGGCTTCATTAAGGCCATCGAGTAGGGTATCTGTAAACAAAGATAATGAAATGGTATAATGGAAAAACATGACTGAGGTGTTAAAACCTAATGTCATTTAAATCAGTGTATCCAGAACGGAGCATATTGGAGATGTCTCTCATATCATTATTTTACTTTAATTTTAATACTAGATTAAACTAGACTACTGAAAATTACAAATCGTGAACACAGAACATTTGGACACTTAAGAGAACTGTACAAAATGATGACCATGCTTGTAAAGGGGGAAAAAACATTCAAGGTACATTATTTTGGAGAAAGGCACAAGCCTATTCTTCAAATGTTATTTGGATGTGTCAGATCACTATAGAGTTTATCTATCACCATTTAAAAAGTTCTTTGTCAGGTATCACGCTTACTTTCACCCCAAAGGAGAAAAAGAAAGAGAGACATGAACAGATAGACAGATAGAGACATAGATAGATAGAGACAAAAATAGATAGAAGGAGGGAGAGAGAGAGAGAGAGATATGGCGAGTAAGAGGGGGAGAGAGCGAGAGAGAGAGAGAGAGAGAGAAAGAGAGAAAGAGAGAGAGATAGCGAGAGAGAGAGAGAGAGAGATAGCGAGAGAGAAAGAGAGAGAGAGAAAGAGGGAGAGAGAGAAAGAGATAGCAAAAGAGAGAGATAGAGAGAGAGAGAGGGGTGTAGGGCGGGGGGAGGGGAGGGGAAGGGGAGGGGAAGGGAGGGATGCGAGATACAGGTGAAAGAGGGACGGTAGGGTCGGGAGGAAGAAGAACACGAAGGGGAGAAGTCCAGAAGCTGGCCGGTTCAAAGTTCATATTTTTATTTCTATTTTATTTTTTATTTCCTACAATTCATTCAAGCCGCCGAAGATGGCGTTGTCAACGGACTTGATTAGTCGTTCTTTTGTGTATATGGCTCCGTGTAATATCAACTGAAATCATCTGTAGTTCCTAATATTTAATAAAAAGTTGTGCTTTTTGCTCTGACAAAAAAGTTAGCCTATTTCTTTATCCGCATTAAAAGTCAAATTAGATACAACCACCACACTAGTGGGTTGTACGATTTACGTAATGTCCGATCTCTTTTGATAATTTGTAAATGTCGCGCGTCCTCTGTACTCATGATCACCT